TCTCTTGTTGATTTTAGTAATTATATTTGATGAAGAAAATGTAATATGAAACAGTGTTTTGAGGTGCATGATGATACTGTTTTTTAATTATTTTCTTTCTCTCAGACCTTTCCCTCCCTCTCTACGCTTCTTGATTCAGCAGCATCTGGAACTCCTTCACCTCCTCCAGGAGAGAGTTCTTAATAGCCACTGGCAGGGAATCATGGGAGATGCATTTCTAAGGCTCACTAGCAAAGAAGTAAAATATTATAAAAAGCGAAAATGAGCTACAATTATTTAATAATTATAAAATGAGCTACTATTTAATCTCAAATGTGTGTTTTGCAGAGTGATTTTCTGGATCATTATGTATCATATCTACGGGACCTGCCAGAATGTTTGACAGTGGTTAGTCTGTTCTCCTCTTCAAAATCAGGCAGCTTACTAGAGGTATACATACACACATTTTATATTTAATAAATACAAGATTGAAAACTTACTTTTTTTTAATATGCTGAAATTCGAGGCATATAGATAGTGTTATGCCACAGAAATGATAAAAAGACAGTACATTATGTTTCAGTGAATGACATTTCTATTTCATTTTCACCATATTAATAATATAATTTAATATTTGTAATTTTTTGTTAATATTATTATCATAATAACATATAATAATAGAATATTCAAATCATGGTTTTGATCATATTTTTTAATAAACCCAGATCATTTAGTTGTTACATAAAACACAAGTTTAGGTTACCTGGCATAAATTTGAGATGAATCCACATAATGGCTTATTTATTTGTTGTATGTGTTTGAATCCAGAGTGACATCACAGGGGATGAGACACATCCGTCTCTACACTCTCTGCTTCTACAACCTGTCCAACGTATCCCGGAATACCATACGCTCCTCCAGGTAGTCAAACTAACAGCATTTTAGGCGTGTTTATTAGTTGTGCATGTTTAATAAAGTGACACTTGTGATCATATCACCTTGGTCAAGCATTGCTTCATAAAAACTGTCCAATCAAGAAAATGCATGTATGTGTCCATTTGTATACTGTGTTTTACAGAGACTTGTACAGCAGACAGAGTCAGAGCATCCAGACTATTACCTGTTACTGGTGTCTGTGCAACAACTCCGATCTTTCATGACCCGTTACAGCCATCTGCTACAGCACAACCAGGAGCTCCTCACACAGTCATGCCCTGCGAGAACACACACACAACCTGTGCACACACCAGCAGGAGCGGCCCTCACACACCCGAAAAGAGCTTAGCAGGTAAGTTCAAATCAACAAATACGTGTGTTTTTGTGTTGTAAGTTTTACTGGCTCTTGTTTTTAATGTCAGGTCTACAGTGAGACAGCTGTATAAAGTCGACTATGAGAAAAATTACAGCAACACCAGTGCACAAAAGTGAGTAGATAGATGCACCAATCAAATATATCACAAAATGAGCTCTCTGTGAATTCATTGGTGTTTCTTTAAATTCAAGCACTGTTATGTTTTTTTTTTTCCCCATGCCTTCATTATGCCCTTCATGATTTTTTTTTTTAACTCTTGGCCCAGAGATTCATTATTGAAATATAATAATCCATCATAAAAATATATAATAGACTTATATTTAAAACTATCAATTAAACAAAAAGTGAAAAAAACATAAACCATTGTTATGTTTATTGCATGAAAATCAACACACTCACAATTTTCCTACTAAATTGAGTCTCTTTAGTGAAGAGAGTGTTTGAGATTAAATTTGGGACACACACTACCATTCAAATGTATTTTTTTCAAGCAACATACTTGTATTCATCAAGGATGCATTAATTCGATCAAACGTAACAGTAAACACATTTATAATGTTACAAACAATTTCGATTTCAAATAAATGCTGCTATCTTGAACTTTCTATTCATCATAGAATTCTGAACACGTATGACCATTTCCACAAAAATATTAAGCAGTTTTCAATATTAATAATAATAAGAAATCAGCATATTAGAATGATTTCTGAATGATAATGTGACACTAAAGACTGGAGTAATTGCTGCTGAAAATTCAGCTTTGCCATCACAGGAATTACATTTTAAAATATATTAAAATTGAAAAGTTATTCTAAATTGTAATATTTCACAATATTACTGTTTTTACTGTATTTTGATCAAATAAATGCAGCCTGGATAAGCATTAGAGACTTTAATGTCCCTTTCAAAAACATTAAAAAGGTGCCCGTAATTAAAGAAACACCCTTATACATTTTCTATTTGTCTTTTTTATAAGTGATCCTTCTCGACGTAACAAACACTACACTGACTATGAAGCGGCACCCTATCACTACGACCCAGAAATCCCGTCCGACTCTGACTCTCGCCACAAAGCCATCTCAGTTCCTCTGCGCAGCATTCCAGAGACAGATGGAGCGGGATCTGTCCTCTCTGATGCACTGGGTGTGCTCTTTCCCTACAGAGCTGGAGGCTCTCGCTGCTCAAGCCCGTCTCATTCCTCTGACTCCAGCATTGATATCGCCTTTGTGCATTGTAGTCCTTCTCATAGTCCACCTAGACAGTACCACAGTAGGGGGCGTAGTGCTGGGGGTGTGGTTTATAGGTCCAACAGAGGCTGCGTGTCACCTGACTCAGCAGATATTGTGAGACCACGCCCTCTACAGGCAGTGCAGAGAAAGAGCAAATCACTAAACGGCCTGCAGCTGGACAGTTTTGATATCCACGCCCACCAGACAAAAACTCCCGCCCACCCAAGGCTGGAGCGCCAGTCAAGTGGCAAATCAAGAAAGAGACCCAGCAGTCCAAAACACAGATATGAGACACACACTGACACAGAGGAGCAGCCACGACTAATAAATCAAAAGGTACACGCACATTTACATATAAACACAAACATGTATATAAGCAGATTATTAGTGGTTATTAGCACCTTAGCGACTGTATTGCATAGGGTTGCAAAGATTAAAAAAAAATAATAATTTCAGTAAATTTCCGGAAACATTCCAGAATTTTGAAAACGTTAATCTTAAATTTGGAAACTTTCTGAAATTTTTTTGAAAGTTTTGGAAGGTTTCTGGACATTTACCAGAAATGTTCCACCCCTTTGCAACCATAGTATTGCATAGCCCTGGCAACTACTCACAACACCCTAGCAAACACAAATCAACTGCATGGCAACAACTCACAACAATGTAGCAACTGCATAACTACACACAACACTCCAACAATTGCATAGTATTGTGATAAAAAACCCTCAGAAACAACTTGACACCATCTACTCACAAAACCCTAGCAACTGCATAGCAATGCACTTAAACCCTTCAGAACACCTTAGCAACTGCATAGCAACACCTTGGCAACCACCCACGGCATTCTACTTCTCTAGTAATTTCATAGCAATGTGTTAAAAATCCTTCTGAACACCTTAGCAACTGCAGAGCAACACCTTGGCAACCACCCACAACACTAGCAATTGCATAGCAACACCCTGGCAACCACCTGCAAAACTCTAGCAATTCCATAGCATTGTGTTAAAAACCTCTCAGAACACCTTAGCACAGCGTTTCCCAACGGGGTGCCGTCTGTCGAGAGCAGGGGTGCCGTGTAAAAATTTTTTTAATATTTTTAAATTGCTAAAATGTTCAAAAAAGCATCTATTATATAATATCCATTTCTGGTCAAACAGCAGCATGGCAACCATCCACAACATCATAGCAACTGTGTAGCAATGCACTAAAAACACTTTAGAACACCTTAGCAACTACATAGCAACACCCTGGCAAGCACATTAGAATTATCCCTAAAAGCTGAAAATTAAAAGCAAATTGATTTAGTATGCATTTATTTAATTATGAGTGTGTGTGAAAGCTCATTCTGCTTGTTCCTCAGGATGCTAGAAGCCTGGTGTGGGAGGAGATCAAATTGAGGGGTGTGTCTGATGACTATGACCACACCCCCTTGAGTGAGCGCAATAGGAAAGAAGGAAAAGGATTTAGGAACTCCTTCAAAAAGCTCTTTAAGAAGAAGTGAGTTAATAAGAGGAGACACACGGCTACTTTGCACGTCCTCACATTTAAAGCCATGATACTTTGTGTGTGTGTGCGTGTCAGGTCTAGTGGGGACGGAAAGGAGAAGACAACAGTGAAAGCTGAGTGTCAAAGCAGTGGAGAGCTGGAGACCACCAAAGCCCCTCACACAGGAGACATTGACAGAGGAACTTTTACTTTTTTTTACTAAGTGGTTCTCAACTGGTTTTGTGTCAGGGTACAGATTTTACAATGAACTTCAAGTGGTGATCCAACACAATACCACAAATGCTTGGTCTTTAGTGTTCGCTCTCTAAATATTTCTGGAATGTTGAGGGTTTCATGCTTTCGGACACAAAACATTTTGCTTGAGTAATCAATTATTAATATAATTTTGGCCAGAAGTTTGAGAACATTTGGTTCTTGCATTGTTTATGCAGATATATACTCACACATATAAACAAACAGGCACACTTATCCATCTTTTGTTCAGTTTATGCTGGGCTGCACTGACAGGATGCAAAACTGTATCTGATAAAATGTATAATGTTAATTACTCATAAATAAAAATACTGCTATAAATACATGTTGTATACTGTACAAATAAAAATGTAAATACATTTGAATGCAAATGTAAATGCTAACAATTAAAATAAAGCAATAATAAAGTGTATATATGACAAAAAAAACAACACCATTCAGATGTATTTTATATTTTTTCACCTTGGTTTAATGTGTTAAATCTCATAAAACAGTTTCACATTTGAAACAAAATATTGGCTTTATACAGTCTGTAAAACTCAAATTACTTTACACTATATACAAGACGTGAATCACATCACACAAGAGAACGCTGCTGTAGTGAACATGGAGTAGTTTGACACGCTCTGTACTCAAAGCATTCAATAACACATTTGTGAATCTTTCAAACATACAATGGAGTAAATGGAGATTAGGCTCAGACACGGGTTTCATTTGGGTCTTGACAAAAATCCGCATCATAGATCATGTGACAAGACCAGGGTTTAAAACTGCTGTAAGGGATTTATTCTATTTGCAGTGGAGTTATAATGGCGCATGATCTATTTAAAGTTTTTTAATGCATGTTAGAGGTAGACACGACATGCTAAATTTGCGCATTCGGCTAAACAAAACTTGATTTCGCTTTTTTGACACAAAAAGAACAGTTAGTATTCAGATAAGAGCCATACAAACTGATGAAAATGTGAGAAATCTTCACAGACAGCTACATTCTAGAAAGAGCTATTTTTCTGACTTCCCATTTCAATATTTACACATACTGCATTCATAAGACATTATGTTGTCTCTATTCTGTTTTCAGTGAGTCTGTTAAATAGGATTTCTTAGTTTGTTATACTCTTACTATTGACATCACAGCCTGAAGCATGCACTCACCCATTAACACACACACACAGCACGCGGAGAAAAGCACACGTGAGCAAACGTATTGCGCAAACCTTCAATAACAGTGCTTGGTAATGAACTAAAACATGACACTTGGACATATATATATATATATGTTATTGCCATCTGATACCACCACTATACCATGATACAGCCACAGTACTTTTATTAATAATGGAAATGAGGAATTAAAGATATTACTACATTATGAATTAGCATTATTCATGAATGATTATACTTTGATGAAAATACTTTTATTGGGTGTTAATAATTAATTTAATCATTCAATGCTTAATCCACTGGATGTGGTAACAAATAATCCTTCAGGACTTTACCTCAGTTTGAGTAACATGAGTGGTGGAATAATGAAATGAAAACATGGCGCCCCCTAGTGTATATAAGAAAATGACTCTTGTATTTAGCAACTAATGAGCAAAAAATATTTAGCTTCACTGCAGGCTTTTTTTTTTTCACAGAAAACATGTTTTGTATTTCTCTGTGCTGCTTTTTCATTGTTTTTGTATATACACGTGCTAGACTGCCCTGACCTTTGCTCTCATGTCTTTCGTAGTATCTTGCAAATGACATGCCATCCTAAAATGTGGTTCTTAAGTTAAAAGAAGTTTAACTTTTAAAAAATGTGTCTCTAGACCTTGGGGGGTTTTTTTCATTCCACTGCCCTGTCTCTCACGTTTTTAAACACAAAAATGCATTCTGTATGAATGGCCAAGAAATGTGGATCTAATGAGACATAAAACTTACTGAATTGCCTTAAAGTGAGGTTACATTTACAGTTGTTTAGCAAATTTTCATAAGCAAAATCCAGTAATTTCAATAGGATTTCTCGTTAGGGTGACAGATTTCCATAGACAGATTTCGCATGGGGTTAAATTTAGTCACATTAATTTGCCGCGTTGGCCGACAGAAAGCTGCTTGGTTTGAAAGTGACTTCTGTGTGAGTGGTACATCATGCAATGCTACAGTTTACAATGAACTTTTTGTTGCCAAAATTTCACTGCTGTGACTACGTCTTTAGGATAAGAGACGAGAAAGAGATGCAGAAGAAAATACAGCTGAGCTGATTAGACTTACGCATTCCGTGTGAACTGTATTGGTATGTAAAAGAAAGGAGCTGTTTACAGGGCTGCGTCACTGCAATACTGAAATCTACAAAGCTAACAAGATGGTAAAACACCTGCAAATCATGCCAGATATAAAAGTCATGTTATTTGTGTCCTCTTTTAGACAGCTGTTGTTTTCACATAAGTTATCTCAGTCACACAGAACTGATGGTTGTGTATCAAGGTGTCTCTGAAGAGTTTAGTTTGTTACAGTTTAGTTACAGTTTTTGTGTATTGAAATGCATCTATAGTAAGTTCACGCAGTTTGCCAGTACATAAAAACTTTAAACTGGTACAATACCAAAAGATATCATGTATTAACTGGAAATTATTTAAAATTATCACGCCAATCTATCACGCATATTAAACGGTCTACCTACATCTGCTTGTACTGAGGTATCGATTTTGTATCGATACGAGGTACCAGGGGCTGGTATCATACCAAAGCAAAACTTCTGGTCTTAAAACGTATCTGTAGTGCTTCATTTCAACGGTCTTTGAGTATATATATTTTTTTTCCTGTAGTGTTTTGTTCAGTAGCTTTATAAATGAAAATGAGGTGTAGAAGTCTCTGAAACATGTACTTTGTAGCGTGCATTACGTAGTGTGTGTTAAGGCAGTGTGTTTTCAATAGCTGTTCTCGTGGCCCGCGAGGATGTACAGATTACTTCGAGCTGTGGGGTCTTCTGTCGGTTTGCTTTCCAACACCACCACTCTGAGAAAGAGAGAAAAATGCTTGTAAGAACAGTGCTGACCATGGCACAGTTGTGGTATAGTGTGTGTTCTGGTGAGCTCTCACCTGTCCGCACCCAGCAGCCTGTAGATTCGCGAGTTATCAGAGATCTCCTGAGTAATCTAAAGCAGAGAACATCAGTTACCATCAATCACTCGTCTTATCACAATGGACAAAAGACCTTGTTTTGCCCACAAAATTTGGCTATTACGACTGCAACTTAAAGCTAAGAGCACTTGTTACCGACTATGATCGTATAAATCTAGATCAGTGGTACATCACAATGTCGGGAGCATTAAAGCATCAAAATTCACTTTTACATAATAAGCTATTTTGATCACCACTTTATGTTTGCCATAAAATCTGGTTCCTAAAGCAAAACTAGTTGAAAACCACCAATTTACAAAACCAAAAGGCACACCACACACCTCACTGTTTTTAAAACTTCTTCCCTGCATTCCATGCTTCCAGAAGGCTAAAACACTGTCCTGCAGACACACTTGAAAAAAGACAAATACATTATTATTAATCAAAGCACACAATGAATTACCCACCTCTTCTATTACTTTAGTTCTTACCTATTGCCTCAATCTGGAAGTTAAAGGTGAGTTCAGTTGACAGCTTTCTGTTGGATTTTAACCTGCCCTGTAAGTTCACCAATTTTATACACCCTGCAAAAAAATACAGAAATAAATTATGAGTAATGGCTTCCAAGAGCTGGAACTGCTGGATAAAGAAAATGCAAGAGCATGCGCAAATGCTTGTTTGAACATGAATGTGTGCTGCAGGTACTGACAAATACCAACTGAAAAAGATCCTGTGCGAATTCAGAAACCATTATAGTTTTATGAGGAGACAGGTTAATGTACATGTGATTTTATCATATTGTGGCTAAAAAGAGCTATAACTGTGGCAAAAATCACTGTAATGCACAGCTTTGGGTGTTTTATTGGTTTTATAAAATGGCGAAAAGAACATTAAGTACAATTCATTTGTATTATATATTATTTATTGTTTATTCTTATTAACAATAACAATAATGATAATAAAAAATGTCATTTATATAATTTAAAGGCACAATATGTAATTTTTGCCACTAGAGAGCGCGTATTCAAAACAAACAAAGAAACAAAGGCATAGTTTGATGACGCTGTGACTGAGTGTGGAATCATGGGAGTGTACATGTGATTTTATCATATTGTGGCTAAAAAGAGCTATAACTGTGGCAAAAATCACTGTAATGCACAGCTTTGGGTGTTTTATTGGTTTTATAAAATGGCGAAAAGAACATTAAGTACAATTCATTTGTATTATATATTATTTATTGTTTATTCTTATTAACAATAACAATAATGATAATAAAAAATGTAATATATATCATTTATATTTGTAATATGTATATATTTATGTACATTAACTATATTTGAAAGAACTGATTATACTATTATAATGATTATAACCAATTCTTCCAAATAATATAGTTTGTATATATAAATATATACATAAAACAAAAGTGAATATTATTAATATTTAAACTGTTCTAATATTTAATATCAGCAGAGTATTATATTAAATATCAACATAACATAAATAATATTCTATGATTTATTATAATAAAAATAAATGACTTACGATCTAGACATACTAGGACAGTATCTCTCTCCAGCTGAGTCACATGAATGACACATGTTTGAGGTGTTTCTGGAAACACACAACACAACAAGGGTTCATTCAAATCCCAAGAGCAACACTCTCAAACATCTTTTTTAGCAATCCAAACCAAGTAAACTTGTAAGTAAAAGTTCCGTTTTGAACTGAGACACAGTGAAACTCTGATACTGACCGGGCTCTGTGAACACCGAGTTGGCAGCATTGGGATCAACAGTACCAAACGTGACCACCTGATCAGGATGGCTTCCTTTACTGACCGCCACACAAACCAGTGGATAATGCTGCTCAGGAACCACCAACATCTCAAAGATTTCTAATGGGCACGGCAGGGTGAGGTCTATGCTCTGGACAGACAAAAATACACAGGATTATTCTCTTGTGCATGGATGGGCTTTGTGTTTCTCAATGTGATTTCTCTTTCACCCTTACCTTTATCAGCATGAAGCGCTGCATGGCTTCCACCCATTCAAACAGCACTACGCTGGACTGGAAAGCTCCACATAAGTACTTATGACCGGTGTACGGGTTTCGCACTATAAATACAAATACAGAAGTATGTTTCATTTTTGATTGCATATATGCAAAAGATTTTATGTGCAAGAAATCCTAAAAACATGCAGTGCTCTGATCATACAATTTGGTATGCATTTCAACACAAAACATAAGAATATCAAGTGCATGTGAGTGCGTTCATACTGACCCACACAGCATTTCTGACAACCCCTCGTATCTGGTATTTTATTGGACACAGTAAACTTCCTGAAAGAAAGGCATTATCATGACAGCACTAAAATGCAAATGATGTGATTGAATAGGAATGACAGAAAACAAATATTTAAAATGAAATCACAAATGATAACGGACTAAATAGCAACACAAAAAACATACGTAAAAATATTAGCCTGGATCATACCGTGGGATGATTTTGTCTGGGAATTTGTGTGTTGGTATGGCAACAGGTAACTTCTGCATTTGTCGAGCTTGCTCAAAGAGCCCCGTCAGGTTGTAAGAGTACAGCTGAGATGCTTTACCTGTGGAAAACACACAAATATGTGCATAGAATTACATGATGGTGAAGCTAAAACATTAAAATATCCTTCAAATGCATAGTAAATCTCTTCCTTATTGGTTTTATCTCACCTGATATTGAATGCAGCCAGTTGTTCATTACATAAACCCACGTGCACCTCCGTGGAACCAACTGTATGTGATTCAACAAAATAAAAGATAAATAAACAGATAAAAAAAATCAAAATTCAAATGATGACTCATCCTTAATTTCCTTTCAGAGCAAACACATAATTATTGATTACATATATAAAATCAATTTATAATTTTTATTATACCTTTTATAAATATTGATGACATTTTCATATTTTTAGCATTTAAAAAGAAATACGACTACAGGTGCAATCTCAATAAATTAGAATGTCGTGGAAAAGTTCATTTATTTCAGTAATTCGTGTATTAAATAAATTCAATGTCATATCTATATTGCCAAACCTGCCTGAATTATTCCTAATTTTGAACCTCCACGCAAAAGAAAACCATAATAAAAAGGCCCTGACCTGTTCCATTGTGCTCTCATGGATTTCATTTAGATTGAGGGTATAAATTCCTTCCTCTGCACCAAAAATCAGATACTGATCTGAAAAAGAGTCAAAAGGGAAGCTCAAGCTGAAAAAACATAATCATTATAATTATGTCATTTAGGAGCATTTAATTTGAGAATGCATGAGCTCTGCATGAACTGTTTCTTACCCCTGGTGTTTGGGTTTATCCAGGAACAGGCACAGTGAATCTTTAGGGGACAGCCGTTAAACACTTTAGAGAAACAAGCTCCCATCTGCAAAGCAGAAACAACGATCAACATCATGGCAGCAGAGCTGAATTTGAATGGTCCAAATTTAGTTGCTATGACATTTGTGTTAATCCAGGTGTGTTGATGCATCTTTCATGACAGAGAGAAAGAAGGAAAAATAGTGAAAGATGAAGAGATAAAGAGAAAAGGGAGTGCTGGATGACTCACATGTACTTTAGGGGTCGGTGGGAGACCATTACTGAATGGAAGCTACGAAAAGAGAAACAGATCATCTCTGTAAGAGGCTTGTGTAACAATCTCAGTTTACCAGAGCAGCATATGTTTGATTAAACTATTTTTGTTTTCCCATTTAATCAGGGAATAGTAATCACAGGGCAATAATTGTAAAGTCAGATCACTCACACAAAATATATCTTATCTCCTCCTGTCCTTAGCACAGACAATTTAATAATTTAATTACGGTTTAGAACAACCTTAAATGAAAAATATGACAATAACATAATGAAAGAGGCAGAGATATTTTCTTTACTGGGCATCTGAACCATTTTGATGAATTTCTATGCGTTTTATACAAAATAGATAATACAAAAATAATAAATAAGGAAATATTTTGCTTTTTTTTTTTTTTTACAAAGTTTGCATGTCATGTTTTATATATATATAAAAGCATCAACAATACCTGTAGATTAGGTGAGGGAAGGGAGGCCAGTTTTTCTTTCTCTCCATTCTCCTGGACAGAAACTACATTACCTGCACATAAACACTCACACATTATATCTGTCCTTTGAAAACTGAAACCACAAAAAACAAAGACACACCTATGTAAATTACGTTCTTTATAGATGCCCCTATTTAAAAAACTTGCCTGATTATGGTTGCACTAATACTACCTGCAGAAAGCAAGCAGTACACAGAATTTGTGTATTTTTTTATTAATGCAGCTGTTATTGAGGTAATTCAGTAACTGAGTATTTCTGACTCATTTCAAGACTTCTGATTCATTTGCTGCTATAGGTAAATAACTAGAAGAATAAGAACAGTAAACTTCTTTTAACTTCTTTAAACTCAGAGTTAAAAAGAAGTATGTTTATGTTTATGATAATAAACATGATAATAAATACCATTTTGCAATATTACTGTTCTCAAAGCTGGTTGGCTGGTCTTCCAGCCTGGTCATACCTGGTTTAGCAGGCTGGTTTTAGAGTTTTGATAACTTTTTTAGCTGGTAAAACCAGCTGAACACCAGCTTGGCCAAGCTGACAGACCAGTTTGATCAGGCTAGGAGGCCATCTAAAACCAGCTACTTCCAGCTTAAACCAGTCTAGCCAACCAGCTTAAGCTGTTTTAAGCAGTTTTTTAGTAGTGCAAGCAGCATAACAGACTTTTGTACAGCTAAAATAGCTGGAAGTGAATAAAACCATAAACCTTGCACATTCAAATTAATATAGGCCATGTTCATTCTTAAGCTAAAAATAAGGTATATATTCCCATGTCCTATATATATCCTCCATAACTGGGCAAAGAAAAAACAAAGACTTGTGCTATGCAAAGTGTATTCTGCACTACATTTTGGGGCACGATTGTTACCTTATTTGCATAATTTTTTACATGATTTGGGTTGTCAAACAACACAATCTAACTACTATATCACACAGACCCATCTACAAAGCTCTCAACTAACCTACGGTAAAGCTACAGCTATCTATGTTAAGTGAAATAACTAATGCCAAAATGATAGTATTCAAAAGCACAAGGAATAGAGGAAGACTGGCAGGGCTGTCTACCAATCACAGGAGAGCACGCTCAAGAGGGCGGTGCTTAGCTTACTTTGTTCTTCTTGTTGTTCAGCATGAAGCCATTCCCAGAACCTATAAATCTCATCATCCCTTGCTGGCTCTGTCTGATCGTGCTCAGAGGGTTTGTTACCTAGACTACTACGCCTGTGTGGAGGCAGGCGAGGAGGTGGTGGCCTGGGAGGCACACAGGAAGCAGTCCGAACAGGAGGGGAGGAGCTTGCAGAAGCTGGGGAACGTTTAATGGTCCCTTCTCCGGTATTGTCCTCTGAGACAGTACTGTTCTGACCGGGAGACGGAAGCTTTGGCTAGGAAGTGATAAAGGGAAAAAGAGACATAGTGTGAGTTACACATTATGTCAAAAGGCACGTATTGCATAGGAAAAGTGTGTGTAACTTTTACCTTGGGTGGCAGAGGAGGTGGTACTTTAGGCCTCATGGTTGAAGTGGAGTCACTGCTGTAGACGCAGACACACAAAATCATTGAAATGATTTCTAGCCATACTGCTAATTAAGATGTAACAAGAGCAGGATGCAAGAACCAACAGCACAGTTTTCTTTAAAAGGTGGAAACATACAGGGATACAATCAGATGAAGAAAGAGACCTCATATGCAATGTCAAAAACGGTAAGCAAGAATGGTCATGTGAACACAAGACACACAAACTGCGTGCTAAATATGCTCACATACACATAATCTACCCAATCCAGAGCAAAGTTTGGGAATATTTTGAACTTCTTAGTGTTTGAAGTTCCAGGAAACTCCAAGTAGGAGAAATACAATTCTCAATTGTCCTCAGTTAGACTTGGACTGACTGGAAATTAAAGGGATGCTGTATATCTTGTGCTCATCATCAGGTTATTAAACAAACCAAAACAAATGTCTGAACAAATCACTACAACATACACAAACATTTGATTTTTATAACTATATTTTTACATTTTCTGAAGAAAATGTGAGTGGTACTTGTCCCTGAAAAAAAACATTAGCACAATGCTAGGGTGTTCTGGGTGGTTGCCAGGGTGTTGCTAATGCTATGTGGTTGCTAGATTGTCCTGAGAAGTTGTCAGGCTGTTGCCATGTGGTTTCTATGGTGTTCTAAGTGGTTGCATACTGTCCCAAATCAAAAAAGTCCAGCCCTAAGTCTCTATGATACTCTTCTCTCTAGATATGACCCAAGTTCCTCCTTCAAAGTTAATCAATGGGAAAAGCTATGAGAAAATCTATGGGAATATCGTCTGGCAGACAAACATTGTAAGTGTGATTTTATAGAAAAGTAGTAGCATATGCAATTGTATTAAAGTTGGCATGAAACAGAAATTGTGATAATCTTTTCTCCCCTATTGTGATGTACATCCAAGTGAAACAGCTTTTCAAACTAGCGAAAATGTAGGACTTGATTTTGTCCATCAGGAATTGATTGGATCATTGTTGTTTTTTAATGGCTGCAATCTCATACAAGTGATAGTTTGCTGTAGAGGAGGCTTAATTACCCAGACCTCTTGCCAATGCACACATTAGAGAAGATAATGTTGTTGCGAGGGTGAGGGGAGGTCAAGATTTTTGAATAAAGGTTACGAGGGCACATTAATTAAAAACAATGATGTGCATTTCAATAATGATCATGCATTTATGCACCAGCAGGCAACTAAAAACCAGACACACTACAAAACAAACCGGGCACATCCTTCAGTCTCACATCTGGTTGACACTAACAGACAGGGAGTCACGGATGACCACAGGCGTTTTTGAATGATACACATCTCACATTACATCTTCATCTCACTTACTGCAAATCATCACCTTCATCCTCCTCCTCATCCTCTAAATGTGTCACATGACCCCTGAGAGAGATGAAGAGGGTGAGGCTAAGAAGGTATAGCAGCCAGAGAAGAATGCAGAGAGAACACACCCACACACAGACTCAGCAGTAAGAGCTTCTCAGTGCCAAGCAGAGGAGATGAGACTGCAGAAGTGATTAGATTGCATGGAGGTTTGTCTGACCAATCAAAAGAGACAGTAAGAGGGGCTGTACCTTTGATTGAGCTCCTCAGCAACAGATTTTAATAGACTCCTACAAAAATAATTAATAAAAGACAGAACTAGTTTTACACATGCAAAACACACAAACATATTTGTATAAACTAAAGATGGGTTGTGACGCCAAAATATTTATCCAACAACAAAACTACCATACTTGATTAGTGAAGTCGACTAGTTTTATAGTTCACTAGTGATACTGGTTAGTTTTAAACTTTCCTCAATTTCTTTATTTTTAGTTGTGTTCAACTAGAGATGGGTCATGATGGATTCGACTAGTAATCCAAAGACTGACTAGTTAATTAGTCAGGTTGAATAGTTTTAGACATTCCTTTATTATATTCAGTTTTGTTATTTTAAAATAGGGATGGGTCACAACTAGCAATTTAACAACCAATTGATTTTTGTAAGGTTCAGACATGGTTTTTGACAATCCATTTTTTCCCCCCTAGTTTTGTTACTTTAAACTAGGAATAGATCCAGACAGATGGCCAATCACCCATTTATCCATCAACTTTCCTTATTTCTTCATTCATTCCTTATTTTGATAAACTCACAAATGAAGCATAACACACTCACTTATTATTTCCCAGAATGCTTTGGGGCTCTAATGGTAGATCCTACATGAATCAAAAAGACAGTCAGACAAGTCATCCAAACAAACACACTAAATAGCAATAAATTAATGGCATAATGTCACAAACCATCTCATGATGCGGCTCGGTTTCTTTTCTCAGAGGTGGGTCAAACTTCACCTTATCAACTAGAAGAGACACACAGACTTCAGATTTCTCTCTGTGCTTTTAAGTAGGCTGAGAATTCTTGAGCTTGTTTCGGTTCAGTGAGTCAAAAGCTAATTGAGACATGACTTACAGTTAATCTCAGAGAGAGTCTTTCCATCTCGTGAGCTCCTGCTAGATGAGCGGATTCGATGTGGCACAGACACGGGAGACTGCCAACACAGAGACCACAAATAAAGTTTAAAAACTTGAAAGATAAAACAGCTTAGTTACATACATACCTTTTGTGAATATCTGTTACAAGACCCTAATCTTTCCTCAAGACAACACCGCAAGCCACTGCTGTTATGTGTTAAAACCAATAAACTCACATGCATTCACATACACACACAATCACATATGCACACTGCAGCATTGGTAACCGGACACACTTGTACCTGGCAGCTGGCAGAGCCAACTGTCTGCCCTCACTTAGGATCTATATCTAAAGAAACAACCAATTAGAGATCAGTGCTTCAGTTTAAAGCCTAACATGGTTTCCCACTGGTTAAAAGGTAGAGTCAAATATATGACATCACCTCTGGGTCAATGTCATCCTCCTCTGCATCACTGTGTGTGCTGTGGTCAGGGTTGTTGGCTTTGTCCAGTAGCTCAATGGCAAGAGTCCGGCTAAGCGGTTGGGTAACGAATGGGTGCTGCAAAAAGATAAGTTATGCAACGAAAACTTACTGAATGATGGTGGATAACTGGAGCCAATCATAAATGTTCTCTAATGAAGGGTGGATCTAACCTGCAGTAATCTGTCAGCTGTTGGTCTCTTCTTGGGATTTTTGGTCAAAGCCATTTTCACAAAGTGATGAAAATTATTTGTCCTTCATGGGCCAAAACAAAACAGAGTAAATTTGCAGTTATAATCACAACCTTACAACTGAATTAGTGAGGTTTAAAAAGCAGAAATGTGAAGCAGAAATGATTTTTACTTAATTTATGTGAAATAGTAAAAACCTATTTCTATTTTGAGCTATAAATCATCTTTTTTGAAGTGGGAATACTTTTCAGGTGAATGACCTTCTGGAATGACCTTTATAATTTCCGTGGGTGAAATTCACTCTATGTATAAAAAGCCAACAATATACACTACTGTTCAAAAAGTATAATATAAAAAAAGTATACATTATATATACATATTTATAACGCTGAATTTTCTGAATTAACCACTGTTTTCAACACTGATAAGAAATGTTTCCCGAGCACCAAATCGTAAAAAAAAAAAATCCAAAAACATTTAAAAAAAAAAACTAACCAACCCCACAATTTTGAATGAAACTTTAAATCAAACACATTTACAAATACTTACCACTTCACTTTGTCTTTCAGCTTAGGTGGTTGGAAACTGCTCTTGGTCATTAGGAAGAGTGCTCTGAGAAAAGGGGAAACACAGAAGAATGGACTAAAATAAAACAAATGTTGAAAAGCGGGAGAAAGCTAGACTGTCAACATACTAAAGGTGTCCTGTGTAATATGTATTAACTACAAAATTAATACATTAAGCAGAATCTGGCACGTGCAGCAATGGACTGCTCATGATGGAGCACAGTGACATTAAATGAGTACAAGTCACAGGACACACACCTCATGGGGTGCAAGTCGAACATTGGCGGCTCCAACTCGGCCAGCTCAATAGCTGTGATGCCCACGGCCCAAATATCACACAGCTGATTGTAGCCACCTTTCCTCTCAACTGCTGCCACCTCAGGTGCCATCCTGCAGAGAAAGACATATAGAGAAAGAAATTTCATACAGTCCAATGTCTACAATTAAACTATTAAAACAAGTCCTGCCACACGAGAGACAAAGGAGGACTGACATACCAATATGGAGTTCCAATGAAGGACTTTCTTTTTGCTAAAGTGGCTGATATCTGAGCTGAAACTCCAAAATCAGCTGGAGAGAGACAGACAGCAGATGTGAAAGAGTGGAATTCTTATTAAATGTCAACTCCCAAGGTGTTCAGAGAAAGTGTTTTCTTACCTAGCTTAACGTAGCCATTGTCTGTCAACAGTATATTTGCGCCCTATAAAACAAGAGCAGAGCGACAGTGAGCAATTGCGAAATATAACAATCCCTTTAAAACAATCCTGGCCATTTGTCATGGCTGGATAACTATTTGATTCAGACTAATTCAATAATGAATAATTTAGACCAATTTGTGAACCAGTTCAACCAATTCATTAAACAAAGCTGACTTAACAATTCAATGACTTTCCATGAAATTCCCTGATATTTCCATGTTATCAAGAATAGCATTTTCCAAAAAATATTATTCTTGCATAACATAAGTCAAGTGGGACATGAGTGCTAATTATGTCAACACTGAGAGGAATGGCCTCCTTAAAGTGAGATTTAATTGTGTTTTGATGTCCACTTTGTACCTTTATATCTCTGTGGATCTTGCCTTTGTTATGGAGATAGTAAACACCCTGAAATTAACACAAAAACCCATATTACCACTTTAATCACTTGAAATTAGTACTTTTTAACATTAGTAAATGTGTATGTATATACCTGCAGGGTCTCCCGACAAACATATGCAATCTGGGATTCTGACAACGGCCCGGTAACTGTAAGATACAGATATACATGTATATGAGAGATACTGTTGTATAACAGCTCAAGATGATAAATGCATTATAAACTCCAATTTTGATGACAATAATTACCATGGTAAATATCCTGGAGTGAGCCTCCACCACAGTATTCCATGCTGATCCATAATTTATCTCTCCTGAAACAGGGATATTAAGACATCAATTATCAAATCTTGTCATACCAATTCTGTCCACAACAGCTTAAAAGAGGTACATGTATATGTTGGGTTGTGGCGTGTATTTCAAAGATAGTAAAAAATATCAACAAAGTTAAAAAAAGGGAAGTAGTATTCAAACAATTTGGGCCAATATGATTTTTTTATGTTTTTGAAAGAAGTGTCTTTCAAATTTTATTTATTTGATTAAAAATACATAAAAAAAACAGTAATAGTGTGAAATATTATTACAGTTTAAAATAACTGTTTTCTATTTTTCCATTTTATATTTTAAAATGTAATTTATTTCTATGATGGCAAAGCTGAATTTTCAGCAGTCATTACTCTAGTCTTCAGTGTCATACTAATATTTGGTGCTCAAGTAACATTTAGTTATTATCAGAGTTGAAAACAGTTAACAGTTGCTGCTTTATACTTCTGTGGAAATCCATTTTCAGGATTCTTTGATGAATATGAAGATCAAAAGCACAGCATTTATTTGAAATAGAAATCTTTTGTAACCTTATAAAATCTTTACTTTGACCCCAAACTTTTGAATGGTGATGTAGTAGTGCTAGTAAAACATAAGTGTTATTTTGCACAAAAAAAATTTGCTGGGATGTACAACCAGATGCCTCTGTACTACATTATAATATGTATAAAACATATTAAACAAAGCCAGAGCTGGTGTGTGATTGCATGCGTGTACATGTACCTGAGGTAACTGCCAAAATATGCAACAATGTTTGAGTGTTTACAATCTTTCATCATAATAATCTCCTGCTGCACCACGTCAAAGTCCTCTCCTGCAAAAATCAATTGACAAAATAATTAAATAAAGAAACATGTAAAGTGCAAACAGAACAAAAAACATGGGAACTGTGATTTTGCACTACAAAGTGTGTGAACATGCTGCCTGTATTTAAAATGCGTCACACCATTACAATGCATGAACACACCACATTTGTAATATTTAACTATTCAAGTATAGATGGACAGTGATAGGGCACTATCTAGAGGTGGTTAAGCAGACAGTGTGTGCAGCAGCATTGGGACGGCTCACCTGGCTCTAGTTTGATGACTTTGATAGCAGCCAGTTCCCCAGTGTTGACATTACGAGCCTGGAAATGGAAAGCATAAGAATCCATAAGCCCAAAAAGGTGTGCAATAACATGATTACACTTGTTGTATGGATCTGACTCACATTAAAAGATCTATCTGCTCCAACAACTCATTAAAACTGAGAGGCATTAAACAGGTTTCCAAAACATTCCCCTCATCTACCATTGTTTGGACATTGAAAGCTATGGTGTTTAGACTTTTTAGAAAAACTAACCCATACAGTTGTCTATGCACATTAAGCTGATATTTGGAGAAAGTATTTTAACTACTGGTTAACCAATGCTTCAAATATCTACAGATAATACAAATTAAAATTTAATGACAGCAAATGAGACTGTTTAAATGAAATGAACACTTATTTTATTAAATGTTTCCTCAAAAATAATTTGAGAACAGAAATAGTTCAGTATACAATGACAAGACTGTCGTAGACTAGTAAAGAAATGAGAACAACTTCTGTTTTGCGTCCAAATGGCCAAGGCTATCACCTGCTGCTCAAATATTTCCAAATTAAACCACCTGATCGATATATCTATCAATAATTATAATTTAATAATAATTGATTATTAAATTATACATTATATATGAGAATAAATTACACTTTTGAATATATTAAAATAGACATTTTTTAAAAATATTTCACAACATTGAAGTTTTTACTAATGTTTTTAACAATTTAAACATTTTAAAAATCTTACAGACCCCAAACTTTTAAACAGTAGTGTGTTTTTCAGGAATTTCTAGAACCAGTATTTTGCATGTTCTTTCACAAGTTAAAGCACAAACACACTCACAAAGGCTTCATCTATAAGACCGAACTGAAAGACATCTGTCTGCCAAACAGAAGTGAGGATGATGTCAACAGTGACACAAAGAGAAAGAGAGATTTTCCAACACTTTATCTCAGTTTTATATGGAATTCCATTCAGCATTCCAAGTAATACGGAACAGAAGCAGCTGGTGAAATGTGTGCTCTGATGTTCACAGCACTGTGATGGCTGTCAAAACTAGGACAAGGAGAATATCAAATAACTTTCATATGCACACACACACACACACTCTCGCACGGTGCCTCTCCGATCGCAGTGAGGCTTTTCACTGTCCTGTAATAAATATACTCAGGGCTGTTTTCTACTTTATTAAAATAGCTAATTGATAAATCTAATCAGGAGGAACATATGTAAGCAATCAGAATTATATTGCATGAATCAACCAGATTTTATTACTGACTATAGAGGAAAACCTGGGCAAACGCTGCCAGGGAATTTGTGAAACCACATATTTTCACACCCCTGGGTATCTGAGACCCAATTTCAGGTAGAGTTGGCAGAAAAATATTTTGCTTGTAGGTTTAGTTATTCTTATCCTGCATTTCAGACATGTCAAGATGAACCCATTCAATTATCCACCTACATCGAGGCTCTGATTAAGTGAACGTGTGTGAATTACATGGCATACACCCAACACACTCTCACCCACGCACACTGTAAAACCCCAGGAAGAGGGAACAATTACGAACAAACAGGATGGACATAGTTGTGGGCAAACACACTCACACAGACCCACTTGCAGTTTAAAGTTCAGCTACTTCCTGTCACCAAAGGAAGTCAGACACATTTAATGTTTCTTAAGAACATGATTGCAATTGCCCTCCCCCTTAGATCCCAAACACCTTGCAACAGCCTTCAGTAGTGACCATCTGCAACATATTGGTCAATTATTGCCTATTGAGTGTTATTTTTATTTATTTTTTTATTCTTGCCTTTGTTTATGTCACATATATCACATAAAGAGATGCAGGACTTTGAGTTTGACAGCCCTGCACTGGCTCTCTCTGGTTAAATAGACCTGCTAGGCCCTGTGCATTATGAAAACAAAGATCTCTCCACCCTTTCAGGATATTACACCATATCCGAGTTGCAAAACTGCTACAAAACACAGATACACTCCGGTCCAGTATAAACACACATCTGTTGTCTCCCGCATACACTGGTTACATTGGTCAGTTAAGTGGCTGTCTTAATCCCTAATGAGCCGTCTATCTAAACAGCATTTTTTTTGGACACCAAATGCGCATTCTGACCATTCGGAAAACGTAAATGATGCCCAAAAATGCAGTCTAGGTAGGTAGCTCGCTAGGTTCTGAGACCCAGTTTATCTTTACCTTGTACACATCCCCATAGGTTCCGCTCCCGATCCTCTGGATCAGCTCAAAGTCCTCCTGAGGGTTTCTGCGCGACAGATCCAGGCTTAAATTCATTGTGCGAGTCACTGTTTGCACCCTCCGGTTTATTTACGTGTCCCTGATGTCAAAAACGGGAGGGGGTGATTATCGCAGAGACATACAGTAACAGAGGGATATGACGGTCCAGTCCCACCGAACTACAACAACATGGCCTCCTGTGCGCATGCGCAATGCGACTGCCTGACAACACTGAGGATGGAGAAATTTTTACACGTAATAAACCAGAAACAATTTGAAAAACTAAGCCACGCTTAAAATGTATTATTGTAATTTTAGTAGACAGCAAAATACCAATCTTAATAAAAGACAACACGTTCTTTTCAGGTAAAAAATTTAAAACAAAACATAACAGTTTGAAATTATAATAAAATAGATTTAGCCCATTGTTTAAAATTTAGACAAAAAGTTTTTTGTAAGCGAAACATGTCAAGGACAGTTGTTATTTTTAACTAAACTATACATAAATAAAACTCGTTTTTAGTCATTTAAACAAAGCTAAATAAGATGTAAATATTAGATGAAAAACTAAGTACTAAAATGACTAAAACTAAATTATAAATTAATTAAACCTTATGGAAATGTTAAAGACAAAAATTAAATCAAAATCAAATAAAAATTACTTTAAAGGGGAGGTCTAACGCTATTTCATGCATGTTGAGTTATTTACACTGTTAAAGAGTTGGATTATCATGCTAAACATGGCCAAAGTTTCAAAAAACGATATGAATCTAGAACGGAGTATTTCTGTGTCAAATATACTCCTTCCGGTTTTGTACAAGTTTCGGACAGTTTTTTTCGAGCTTGGCTCTTCGTGATGTAATGAAGGGTGGAACTCCTTGTATGGGCATTTCTCCCGGAAGAGTGGGCCCGTGCAGACACCTAGACCAGAGCGAGAGCAAGAGCGCGGCCATCAACGCGCTTCATTCGGCTGCACTGAACGGGACTCGCTCGAGAAGAATGTCTCCAAAGAAGTGTGTTTTTGGCTGTAAGGGAAAGATAACCTAGTTCAGCTTACCGAAGAACGCCCGCGCACACAACGACCAGAGCAAGAGCAAGCGCGCCCATCAACGTGCTTCATTCGGCTGCACTGAACAGGACTTGCTCGAGAAGAAGTCTCCAAAAAAGTGTGTTTTTGGCTGTAAGGGAAAGATAACCTAGTTCAGCTTACCGAAGAACCCAGCGTTACATGAAAAGTGGATGCAGTTTGTTTTTCCAGGGCAGCAATGGAGTGCGTTTGTTGCAAGTGTGTTTGTTGATGAACGTTTTATAAACAAGGCCCAGTTCGGCGCTGGATTTGCACATCGTTTGATACTGAAAGATGGAGCGGTCGATCTATAAAAGATCTCGGTCATGATTCAGAACTGCAGACGGTAAGTGAAACCGC